TTCGATAAAAATCGTTCACTGACCTGAAAGGCCAAGTTCACTGCTTGAGTGACGGGTCTTGCGACCTTGTTGCTGACAATTCCTTTTCCGAAATTTCTCTGTCGTATTTCTTTTCTTCCTTGAACCGAAACTAAACAGCTACCCATTGAGTGCACAAATAAATTGTTCTAATTTCATGAAAACCGAGTTAAATGCAGATGCGCCTCGTCCAAATCAAGAAGCTGTAAAAAACACCCCAATATTGCGGCTCCTAATGGCATGATGATGATAGCTGGCAAAAATTTTGCATATAGCATATTGGCGACTCCAGCAAAACAGACGGAACCGAGCGGAAAACCACTGAACTGGACGGAACAGGTCCTTTCGCGATTTCCGCTCGTCTTTCGCGGCTTTGGTGACTACGCATTGTCGGTAGTTTGCGCGATAGAACAGTTGTCTCGGTGATTCTGTCGTAACTGTAACATCAGCATGTTCCCAAGTTGCTTTTCACACAACCTACGCCATCGCGTGAACAAGACATCCCACGTTTCAACGTTCATCAGCACCGTGGAAGGACAGTAGGCAGTCCTTTCTTCGCCTCCTCGAAGGACGTCAAGACTCTGGAAGTTCGCTTAAGCCAACATATCGCCGCAGGTCTGAAATGTGGACGAGAAAAAGCGGGGCAAACCATTTTGAGTCTAATGCTCGCTTGCTGATGCCCCAGTTTTGTGCCTTGAGCTCGCACATGGCACGGCACGACCTGTATTAGACTGCCATATTGTCACGGATGACAAATGATGAGGCGATGATAACTGAAGAAACTAAGCGTTTAATGGAGGGCGAACTTGTGCCCAAAAATAAAAAGGAAACAGAAGATAACAGCAGAGCGTCGCGGGCGTCGATGTAGGCGAAAGAGCAGAGTCGAACGCTGGGTTGAAACTGACTCGACAAGGTCGCGAGCGGCGTCTTATCTAGAGTGAGTCACTAACTCGAAGATTCGGCGGAGAAGGTTCGAGCGTAGCGCGCTCGGGGCGAAAATGAACACGCACTTTCTAGAACAACAAAAGCAGGGATAAGCGATAGGAGTTATGTCCGGAGCAATAATAAACGAGAAAGTTTTAGAAGTCCGTGACCCTGCGCGCGGCAATATTTTTCCGATAGTGGCGTCTCCTCTAGTCCACTGGAGTCGCAGGTAGCCCCGGCAGAGGACGCCTATGGTCAAGAGGTCCAACCAGTCAAGAGGTCCAATAGCCACGTGACAGCCGAGTCAGGAGGTCCAACGAGTCAAAAGGTCCAATTCGAGTCAAGAGGTCGTGTCAAGAGGTCCAACGAGTCAAAAGGTCCAATTTGTGTCAGGAGGTCCAACGCGTCAAGAGGTCCAACGCGTCAAGAGGTCCATCGAGCCTTATTTTCATCTTCTCTGTTTATAATGATATTGCTATTAATGAACCGCTTGTGACGGTTACTGACTGTTTGACCTGTTTGAATTATTTTGGAGAATACAAGTACTACATAGCCATTGGAGACAAGAATTAACAGATACTATTTGCCACAATGTATATGTATTTCAGCGTTAAATAATGGAGAGTGCCTGGCGACATATTTTGGACTTGTAGAACTTAATATCTGTGTTCCAGTCTCTCTGTTCCAGGACTCATTTATGCTATTTCTACGGAAGTGTCTCTCAAATTCCCGAGATATAAAATACAATTGGGTCATAGAGATTGAAGTCGATTGAAGAACTGTTCATGTAGGAAAGCAGGTCGATCTCTGAAGCCGGTAGATCTCTACTGTGTCCAGTGCTAGGCCATGGCGAATGGAAAAATGACTAACTTCACGTGCGATGCTGCGCTACGGCAAACTGTCTCTTCACGGTCTTTGAAGACCAAGCACTTCAACATATCAAGGAAGCTATTTTGACGAGACGTGAACAAATTTAAACAATTATTTCAACATTTGAAAATGATTTCACAGAAATAAAAAAAAAGAACTATGTTTAGTTATCCTGACGTCAAACGCCGTAATAGTGATTTAGCCTTTCCTTTCATGTATCTCAGTATTTGTAGCCGCAAATACTTCCTTGGGTAACTTTGTCCAGTCCCGGGTTCTCGTATATTCTATTAAAAATATGATGCACTACTATTTTATGCTTTAGCTAGTTTATGCTTTATGCTTTTTATGCTATTTTATGCTTTAGCTTTAGCACTGAGTTCACCGAATCACTACAGAGGTAAATAACACAACATGGGAAGAAGCTCAAACGAGCCCAAATTATGCCACTTGGCGTCTAATAGAGTCTTGCAAATGAATGCGAGCATTGTCTCCTTGAAACGTTATGACCGGTGCAAGCTATAGCGGGTTAATTTGGGCCGTTGGCTTACTTAAAAGCAGGGAGCAGCCACAAATACTTATGCTAGTGATATGTAACTCCTTTACTGCTGTTTATTTTTGAGAATGCTGTGAAATAAACCATAAAACTGAACGTTTCACGATTAAGCATTCTTGACACGAATTACCTAACACTTGTTTGTCTATATCATTTATATTTAGTTGAAATTACGCGATGTGTTAGTCGGGTGGAACTGTGAGATGGTGGGTTACTTGCTCAATCATTTTAAAAAAAATTGGGTCATAGAGATTGAAGTCGATTGAAGAACTGTTCATGTAGGAAAGCAGGTCGATCTCTGAAGCCGGTAGATCTCTACTGTGTCCAGTGCTAGGCCATGGCGAATGGAAAAATGACTAACTTTACATGCCATGCTGCGCTACGGCAAACTGTCTCTTCACGTTCTTTGAAGACCAAGCACTTCAACATATCAAGGAAGCTATTTTGACGAGACGTGAACAAATTTAAACAATTATTTCAACATTTGAAAATGATGTCACAGAAATAAAAAAAAGAACTATGTTTAGTTATCCTGACGTCAAACGCCGTAATAGTGATTTAGTGTGATGGTAGACGTCGAAATAGCAAATAACTATGGACATATCTTTCGTATGTGTGGATGTGTTCAAAATAGTTTTAGAATTATTTCGAACCCGGATGTCGAAGTAGTCACTTCCTAAAAAAAAAAGGCATCTCAAATCTTGAAATGTTAAGACCTCTCCGGTTACGTGTTCGATATGCGCGGGGGAGAGCAACACGGGAGATGCAGATTTACGACTTTGTGGTCAGGGGTAAAAGAGAGAAGGCACACAGGTCCCCAACAAACGAATGTTGCTATAAGCTTGACAGTTTAAAACAACAATGATTTCCGGTGTTTACAAATTCAGTGCCCAGCATGCGATCCCCACAGCCCAGCGCGCGTGTATCTGTCGCTTCAGAAACCAAGCAAATCACGGTTCATACGCACGAGCACTGATTACATCACCGGCCAGAAGCGATATATCAAAGCCGTGTTCGTGAGATCACCCCTGCCGTGTGGAAGTCTTCACAGCTCAACTTTTTGCTCGTTTTTCGACATTTTCTTCTCCGCCTTTATTCTTAGCATCTCTGTTGTCCGCTTTTTTAATGCGTGCGCACTGCGCATTACCTGGCTCAGTCAGCGACAAAGCCGTCGGCAAAATCTGTCGTCAAAATCCGTGACTTGTCCAACACAATCCAACATAATAATAAAAAAAGAAAACTCTGGTTACGGGATATCTTTGGTCACGTGATCTCTCTGGTCACGTGACCTATCTGGTCATGTGACCAAACAAAAAAAGTATGTGGTCACGTGACAAAAAAAAACTCTGGTCACGTGACCTCCCTGGTAAATTAAGTGAGCACGAAACCATCCCCTGCCTAGTTTCGAACCTAGGCCCTCTTGATCGCTCAACTAGCGTGCTATCCGTTGCGGAAACACAACTCGGGAAAAGGTAGTGTTCATCGTAAAAGAAAGCTTAGGTGCCCTCATAGTTTTTTTTTTCTTTTTTTGCCTGTACTTACTTCACACCCCTTGCCTGTACATATTTTACACCAAGAGATGCAACAAGTCAAGCTAGCCGATATTGGACCTCTTGACGCGTTAAACCTCTTGACACATCGAGGCACAAGTTAAGAGATCGAATATGGGTCAAGAGGTCCAAAGCGTTAAGAGGTCCAACGAGTCAAGAGATTCATGGCGAGTCAAGAGGTCCAACGCGTCAGGAGGTCCAACGCGTCAAGAGGTCCAATATTGGACCTCTTTACTGGTTGGACCTTTTGACGCGTTGGACCTCTTGACTCGGAATCGGCAGAGGACTATCCACGCATTGCGGAGGAAGAAAGGCTGTCGGTAATGAGGGTGTGGCGGTAGCTTCTAGTGCAGTCCTAACATGGATCTGACTATTGTCTATGGTTAGTGACCAACGCTCTCGCAGTGTAGAGGCTCGTAGTCTTCCTGTAACCGGTGCCAACGTCGCAAGGACGCTTACCGGCGATTAAACTCTTGTCAACTTTATTCTTAATATTTTTAGAACTAATAAACTGGCAGTCTTCACCGTTTTTGACGCGCACAGTGTTACGGTCATGCAAACATGAATAATAATTAAAATACATTTTGAATACGTATATAGGACACTGTTTATTTTTACGTGTAATTCTGGTGAATTGAAAATACAACAAAATTAAGCCGGATAGACCTTAAATGACAGAGAGTTAACAATTTTGATCACAAGAAAAATAGTAAAATTTGATAAAAGCCAAATTTGCAGAACACATTAAACATAAAAAAACACAAATTTACCCTAGAATCAACAATCAGCAAAAAACACTGGTCTATTTAATGAGGGAGACAGAAATAGCAACATTTGCGGCGTGTAGCTAATGAAGCCTACTGGATGCGAAGTGAATGCCTGCGAATTATTCGGAGGTAACGCTGCATTTTTAGAGCGCATCTTTAAAAAAACAAAAGCAAAACAACAACAACAACAAGGAAAAACACAAATGCTTGAATCTTCTAAGTACTAGAAGGGCATATCGGGTCTTCGGAATGCGATATCATAGCGAAAATTTAAGAATGAATTTCTCTTTCCTTTTCCCTTTCGAGTGGAGCTCTCACCTTTGCCCTCTGGTTCTGGAACCAGACTTGCACGATTCTCACGCTCAGGCCGGTTTCTTTGGCCAGTGTTTCACGAACCTGTAACAAAAAAGGGCAATAGATGGCTCTGAGTCTCTGCCACACTTTTCACACCTCCAACACGGTCAAAAACGGCGTGGCTGGCATATCTCAGCTATATTCAAGGTGGGAGTCATTATTCAGTGTTCTGGCAACTCCGATATTTGTTAAAAATTGACTAAGTTTGCTCCAGAATTGACTATTAATAAGAAATTGATAGTCATCCCCGTACCGTGATTTTCAAAAATACCTTAATTTGAGTTATTCTACAAGTAATCCCAAGATCATCAGTGATTGATTAACTGATTGATTGATTGGGATTTCACATGGCGAAAGGGCTGTTAAGGCCAAATGCGTAAGAGCATGAACTATTGTGGAAGCAAGGGTTCAGAGGAAAAATAGCTATTGTAGGTGATTATGTTATAAAAATATGTACATGAAATTGTATCAGTGTAAACGAGATGGACATGAGTGCCGATTGTGAACTAAAATAATAGTCGGTATAAAGTCCGATGTAATTAAAAAATGAAACACACAAGTTCACGGAATTATCGGCTCATCACCAATTAACATCACTAAGTGACGTGAAGTGTGTTTTTATATATTTGCGAATTTTTTAAAAATACGTTCCTGGTCATACTTGGGGAACTCAAGTTGGGTGTGATGGGATTGTTAGAGTGATGTTGCAGTGCTCACACTCTGGGTTATTCTTTCCACGCGAGAGGTGCCCATTGGTGAGACGGGTATGACGAAACCGTAGTCAACCCAGGACCACCTCATAAAAGTGTTCCCGATGCTGGACACACTCCCATTCACTTAGAAAATATTTTGCAGCATGTATAGTTTGTTATGTGTTATATTATTCCACTCCCGTTGGCACATTCCTTGATTTCAGCACTTCAAAAGGGTATGGTAGTCTTTTTATGGTATTTTATGCATGTCTCTTATTTACAGAAGTTGCAGAACAATCGGCCTTTTCATTTCTTGGGTTTCCGACGTGGCTTGGGACTCAGCAGAAAATGATCTCAATAGGCTTAAACTGAAGCAGCGATAACCCTATTTTGTAGTTCTAGATAAGTGCAAAAGAATTTGTGGCGCACTTCAGTGATGTAAGTGCTCACAATGAGCTCAAAGAATTCGCGTAAAGAATTTAGTTGCGAAGCCTCTTTTGTATTTACGTAACCAACAACTAACAACATACCACAGAGCTCTGCTGTTATTATGGTGGCTGCACTGTGGATTTTCTTGACCTGCTTCACGGAAGGCCCTATTATAGCGCGCCAACAATCATATCTAGTTCTTTCAGTCCTATTTGTATAGACTTTTTCCACAAGGGCGCCGCCATCTTGAAATATTGTCACTTCCAGTATGGGCGAAAACATTGCTTTGCCGTCGCCACGCCAATACAATGCATTTAGGATATAACCGTAACCGTCACCCAATCTAGTTTTGTCTCCAATTAATTTTTTTACTATTTGCAGATTGAAATGTTTTATTATTTTTTGTCGCCCATACCGGATATGCCTATTTGGCGGTCCGGGGCGAGAGTATGCGAAGAAGGTCTATACCGAAGTTCGGTTGGAGAAAAGGAATTCTTTTGCCACCCAAGGTTGGCCCTTGCCTCCAAAGAAGGAAGAAATGGAAGGTAGGAAGAGGCTGAAAGGTGAACGATGAGAGGGGCAGTAGAAGAGGCGACTGATCGAACCATCCTGGCCGGGCATTACCGGTACTATCCCCTATGAGAAGCGGGGGCCGGGGTGGGGTATTGCCGCACCCGAGGGCTCCCAAGGGTCGAACCATCCCCAGGCTCGGCTCAACCAGCAGGGTGCCATTTTCTCCAGACACGAAAAAGCTACGCAAAGCCAGGCCTTAACGGGCAAACCCGCATGGCTCGCGGTGCGTGGTGGCACCACTGACCCAACACCTACTAATGCATGTGCCCCCTGCGGGGAGGGTCAGTGCTCGACGCAGCATGGGTTTATGGTATTGAAGCACCATGGCGCTTTTCCACAACTTGCGGAATGCCTCGCATATTGTGGGTTCAAGTTTTAAATGAAAGTAGCTGTCCATACTAGTGAGAAATACGGCATGGTGTTTTATTGATTTTATTCTTGTTAGGTACAACCGCATGAACGGACATTAAACACTGGGCAACAATCTTACAAGGCGTTTCGCAAGAAAATAAACTATGCATTGCTCAAAAACTAGACTTTTACCCGAAAGCAACATTACCGCTGACAATGGACTGCCAAAGTGCCAACCTTAGCCAAATAAAAGCCACAATATGTTATATACGTCAGGATAATATTCAACGTGGTCACATTGTGTGACTGCGGTGAGAGAAACAACGGCTGCCCTACTTGTGAATGGTACGAGTAAAAAGCAACGTGCAGTAATTAGTTTTTTTTGTGTGTGGTCTGAGGGTGTGTTTGAGGCCGATATTTATCGAAGGCTTTGTGCACAAAGTAAAGAAGTTTTTTTTGTGTGTTTTTTTCGCAAAGAAAGGTGTCTGAAATTCTGAAGGAATAAAAAGTTCAACGAAGGACGCATTTCGTGTCAGCCCTGAAGGAGCAGGGAATATTTTCACTTCTACGGCTGATGACAAAATTAAGTGTGCACGCAAACTAATTCTGTCGGAGAGACGATCGAGGCACGGTGAACATTATGAAAACTCATTTTTAAATCAGCCAAGACCTATGAAATGATCCACTTTTTGATTGAAATGAATGAAGGTTGATATATATAAACTCTACGACCAGAGTGTAGATAATTTTTGACTCACCCTAGCTACTATATCTTGCGTACACACGTCACGAAAACTTCAACATCGTAAGTATTTCTTGAAGTTTACTAATCTTATTATTTGCCATGGCAAGAACCGCGCCGAAAGGTTGAAGGTGAGCAGCGATTTTGCTTTTTATTATGGGCTATTTATTAGCGTACTAAACTTTGAACATACCGACAACGCGAATGTTTAGCTCCCCGATCAACAGACGCTGGACTTGTGGAAGCTAATACAGGGGCAGCACGCGCCAAACTTCGTCCGACGCGCGTTCGCTCTGCGCGCAGTGGCAGAACAGTATCGAATTTTAGCGACCGCAAGCCTTTTATTCTCGATTTCTTATTGGCGTATTGGTAGCCAAAGCACGACTGAAGGCAAGGAACATGTGCTAAAGGCGGTCTTCTACTGCATTCTTAACCTGTTGCCGACTATGCGCAGAGAAACTGGGGGAGAGGAGGAGACGAGAGGGATCGTCAGAACGCCGAGCTCTGATTGGAATGATTAGTGGGTAGGCACAAAGCTAGCTGCCTTTGTCTCCGCTGCACTCGTCGAACGCGTAAGTACTCGGAACGCCGGCGGACGGCGTTCGGCTTTCGCACCTGAAAGTGATGCACTCTTCATAAGTGCGAGGCGCTGCACAAGCGGAGCTACAGTAAGTTAAAAGTTAGTGCAGTTACTCTTCAGACATCTGGTAACATTCCCTCGCTTTAGAACCGGAGAGGTAAGGAGCCGTAGCAACCATTTCACCTTGCCACAACCGAAACAGAACTCCGCAGAAGAGTGTAAAACTATAAACACGAGCAATGTACGTAAAACAGAATAACAGAAAAGAAGCGGGAGAGGATTGGGCCCGCTTTAAAATTTTCATCGTCCGAGTACGCGGCGGAGCAGCCTTCGCGCCTCCGCGCAACTTTCGGTCAGGTTCTCGGTCAGGTGCGCCGTGGCGCGTGCCCTCACCCCCGCCACCTGACAGTTGTGCCCTTCCGCTTTGCTTCAGCGCCAACTACGAGGAACGCTGCGAGGCAGCCCAGCCAACCCAACGCCGACAGCGCTCCACGTGACCGCTCGTTCCGCGCATTGCACCGCGCACCGCACCGCGCAGGATCGCGCGGTCACGTGGCGTACTGGACGGTTCCGGATTGGTTCCCAGGGATCGACACTTGTGCCCGCCGTGCACATTAAGGTAAAAACGGGGAAGCAGAGGCAAGAGGAGCCGCGCGCTTTCGGCGTCTCCTCTGGAGCGGCGCCGGCAGTGGCGGCAGCGCAATGGATCGGAGCGGCGCTCCATATTAATTTCGCGACATTATCCTCGCTCAGGCGATCACGGCGACGCGGCGCGGTGGCGTCCCGCGGTCGCTTTATTAAATCCCGGGACAAGCGATAAATAACCCTCGTTTCCCCTCCCCGCAAACAGAAGCCCCCCGGCCGAAACCGGAGGCCTTCTTGCTCGCCGCTGGATTTCATTCTCGTGTTAGGCGGCGGGAGCCCAGTTCCCCACGGCTCATTATTCAAGAATTCCGGCCGACAAACTTTCCACATCCGGCCTGCCTTCGCGCTGCCGCGCTCTTTGACGCCCGGTCGCAAGTTTACCGGCCTCTTGGTTTTGGCCGCGTCTCCCCGGACTTGTTTGTGCGGGGTGGGGCTCGTTTACTCCCTCCTTTCTTTTATTTTTTTTTTTTTTGTTGCTTCCGGAAATCTCGGGGACTCATTCGACCGACGCCGGCGCCGCATCGTTCTAATTATGTGCCGTGACAGTTTGTCGACCGCCAGTGTTAATGGTCTGGAAGATCGGTTTCTGACAGAGCGCCGAAAGAAACCGCCGAGCGACAAGAGAAGAATAGCAACCTGGGCGGGCTCTTGCTTCCTTCGGGAGAGCGTCGATATTACACGCGACCAGGTGAACGACAGGCTCGTAATATGCGTGCGTGAAAAATGACGGAAAGGTAATTGTTATTTTAATTTTTTTTCCTCTGGTACACTCAAGGAAAGAACTTCGAAAGTTCTCAACTACGATCGGAGAAGAAACTGTTTTTTTTGTTTTTTTTTCTTCAATGCGAGCATTGTGTTTACTATGTTGCGAACGGCGTAATTGAAAGCTACCTAAAGAGCGGCTCTACCAGACTGCATAAAATGTTACGGTGACTGGGAGTCGGAGACGAGACGCCTGTTCAATGGTGGGGTTTAATTCCAACTGGCCGCCGCAGGCTCGTGACCGCTGACACTGCCACCGCACCTGTGGCAGCCTTTCTTCCACTTCCTCGCGGCATTTAGCCCGGAGAAAAGTGCAGGTCGCCTCGACTGAAAAGCTTGGCTTCTGGAGAAGAATGAACGATGGTGCCATGGTGTGAAGGGTGGGCGGTGTGGCCTCATGCGAGTAACGTGAACAATGTCTGTGGACGTCCGACGGCTGTCAAACACAGGCTGCAGAAGTTCGACTTGACACGAGGGACAGGAAGACGGTCTGCCGCAGGTACCGTGGCAGCGTCAGCGGTCGCGAGCCTGAGGCGGCCAGTTCGAATTTTGCCCCCCGCCCCCATTGAGCAGACGTCTCGTCTGCTCCATGGCCATTCAGCAGCCCATTACAGAGCGTGGCGTTTGAATAGCGGAGCAAAGACAGAAATCACAACAAAAAGATATCAATATTTTTTATAATCCACGGTGAGCCCAATATTTTTCAGTGCTAAGCGCCCAGAGCTGCGTGATCAGTGCAGTGGCGCTGCGATCGAATCTGAGGTAGCACATCATAGAGGAGTTCGTCCAATTATCCGATGTGTATCTTGCGCTGTCATCGTCAGTGACAGCTTGAGAAACGCAGGGCGTGACCTGCTGGGATCGCGATTTATTACTTTGGGATTCCTTCTTCGGCGTTTTTATAATTATTGCTGTTCTTTATACGACTTTAATATCATCACCTCGTTGGCCGTGCAGCCATAATAAGACGTTCGGGAAACGCCCCGCATTTCTTGAGCTGTCAGTCCCTGTCTCTGCTGATTTTGATACGGACAGTCATCGTACCGGCGTGCGGTCGTGCAGTCACTGCTGCGTGATGCCACTCAAAGACCTCTGGTTATAATTCGCGTACTGTACTTACTAGAAGGCTGGACACGCGCGCTACAAAACATCCAGCAAGCAGTTCTACGAGCATGACCGGATGCGACGGACCAAAATGCCTGTGGACGTCCAACGGTTTTTGTTTATCAATAGATTGCTAAGCAAAGATCAAAAAGTGGGTTGGTGCAGTAGAAGAATCAAAGAAGAATCAACACTCGTACAAGTTTAAGAAGATGGGAGGGAGAGTGTACGCCTTGAAGGAGACAACAGTAAACGCTCGCTGGTACTCGAAAGAACTATACTGTTTGTCCTTGTGCCCGAGCCTTTTCATTGTTTCATCGATTTTTGCATAGACCGCTGCTGCGCATTTTGCGCGTCGGGAAACCCTGTGGAACTCGTGATTCCATATAATTTCGTTCCGGTTCCTCTTTACAGCGTATATCCAGTATCGCCTAATTTCAGAATCGAAATACTTTCGAATATTTACCCTATACGACAAGGTTCTACTTCTTGCTAGGAACCCTTCTATAGAAACGGACTTCTGGCCGGTGCCATTTGCGGCGTTCATGCGTTTGGCGCGTAAACTTTACTCTCTTTCCAAAGCGACGAATGTGTCACGGGCTGTGAAGATCGCACGCTCGGGTTTTGCTTTTGTGGACATCGGAACGGGCGTGGAGTTGCTGCAGTCACGCGTTATGTTCACACTTCGTCTTAGGGAGCTCTCATTAGCTGATGCCGTAATCTGATCGGCTGCAGAGCGGTAACGAGATGCATCCTGCGCTTCTGAAGCTGTCAGCGAGCATAGCCACCTCCTCCTAGACAGCTTTCAAGCCTGCACGTCACGTGGCATGACGTGACGTCATGTCACGTGACGCGCAAGCTTGAACGCTGTCTAGGTAGTGTTGGCATAGTTCACAGGCCCGATTCTTTTCGCTGGTGTCGAACCGCCCGCGTGCACTTTCCGAATACAGTAGCCATGGGGCGCGTGAAGGAGGAAGAGACCTTTCGGCATGGTTTCTGGCTGATCTCGAAGGAGGCCTTGAAGGCTCGGCGCTGCGCGGTCGTCAGGATGGTCCGGGGACGCTTGGGGCCCCTGCGGCCGTCCGGACGAACGGCCGGCTGCCCGTTCTGACCAGCTCCCGGGACCTGGCCGTTCTCGCCTGAGTGGAGAAGAAATGCGCCCATGCTCACTCACGCCCATGGTCGCGCAGAGAAGCTCCACTAGGTGCTTGGCACAAGGCAGTGCACCGAATGTATACCGATTTCGAAAGCTTTCCAAATAAAGCGGCGCACCTTAATAAAATTTTAATATACTGCAATCTAGCTTAAATATATGATGTATAATTTTTATAAATTCGCCACACTTCGTGAGCTAGTTTAACGCTGCTGGCGCATAGGAGTTCTGCTACTGCCTCCGAACCTATAAAATTACTGTCGGAAGCGAACAATTTTTTTTAATATATAATACTAGAAAACTGAAAGTAAACTGGAAGTATGTTTTCATATGCGCATGGTTTGTTTTATTAAAAGGTAAGCTCAGCTTTGCTTTTAGTGTGTTACTTTTTGCGAAAACGAATACGAAACCCCAACAATACTAGGCTAGCTGTCTCAGTGCTTCTCCTGTCATAGTGCTGACATTCTTTCTGACACCCAATGCCGAAAGTGTATGATTATAAGAAAACTATAAAGAGATACCTTTAATCATAATGGCACATGTCTCACTAGTAAAAGGTAATAACTCGAATAGAGAGGTGCACTTTCACGTTGTAAAGCAAAAAAAAAAAAAATTCCGAGGACATTTAAGCATTTTTTTTATGAGTTGTTAATGCGAAAGCATGAATGTCGCTCTTCCGCTCCCTTAGTTCGTCTGCGGCGTAGTTGCGTGGACGGCCACGTTTCCCCGGCCGCCGGCCGAGCGCGCGCTCTCGTGAAGTGGCCGCGCTGCGCTGAGCTCGGTCGTGCACCCTCCCCGGAGTTTGCCCGAGAGGCTCTGCAGCCACACCGCTCTTACCGGCGGCCGGAGCGCTGCGTGCGCTGCGTCGCCATGGAGAGGGCTTCTCTGGTGGCTCTTTTTTGGAACTACGCCGCACGACAGCCAATGAGAGGCTCGTTCCTTGATGACGCGCGCCAGCCAATTGGAGCATAACCCATCAGAAATCGGCTTCACTTTGCTCTATTGGTAGAGGGAATTTTAGGTGCCGTTTGGCCAACGTTTGGCGAGGCTTCAAAGCTGATGACGTCGGTTCGCTCCAGGCGACGGTTAATGCTTTCACATTAATAATCTCGTCATCACGTCCCATCGGGTTCAAATGAAATGCGAACAGCGGAGCGCGTGACCGTCGACACATGCTGCGCTTCCTGGAAGCCTCGGAAACCTGATAAAACTGCGGGTTGGAGAGTAGGACGCTGCGAGGTTGTACGTCCGACTCCTATGCGTTTGACCGTCGCCCAGCACGATCCAAGCTTCGACGCAGCGGCGGTAGTGCGTTGGAAGTTCCGCCACAACCAATGTCAAGCCAAGAAGAAAAAAAAAAAAACTGCGCAAGTTAGGAGAGAATTTGACGCTGCAGACATGCTACACGGACGCACGCGCAAGCAGATTGCAGCTGCTGCGAGCGGCGAGTTTTCTCGCCTGGTTCGTGCCGAGCCAACAAAACTGATTGTGATGGAACTTCCACGGCACCACCAGTGTGGCGTCGAAGCTTGGGTTGTGCTCTTCGAGGGTGAAACACATCGGGGTAGGACGCACACCCTTTCAACGCCCTACTCTCCACCCCGCTGTTTTATCGGTTTCCCGAGGCCTCCAGGAGGCGCAGCATGTGTCGACGCCAAGCGCTCTGCTGTTCGCATTTCATTTGAACCCGATAGTATACCCTTCGACATCGAGATAATTATCTAGTTGAAACAGCAGGTGTGCGGATTTGTCCAGTGGTCCTACTGGCCCAGGACAAATTCCAAAGGTTACAGGGGCTCGCTTAGCCGAAGTTCAAAAAACGAGCGTTTTGTGATGTACGCGCGCGCGCTTGCGCAGTGCACGTGCTGTGAAGCAGAAAACTTGCGATTGTAGCCTCGGTTTTGACTAAAACCGAGCCATATCACGTAAAAGTCGGATTCCATGGAACGAATATGCTGCGAAAAAGCGACGAATTCTGGCATGGTGGCTTTTGCTATGCCCTTGGCATCAGCACAGTTGCTGCTATACGTCGCGCGCAAAGCGAGCGCGCCGTCGGGCGACGTTCATCAATCATTCGTCACATAATTCGCTCCACGGAGTTCAGCCTTAACTCTTGTAAATACGTTAAGGTTATAGTCACGTCTTTATAGGGAAACTTAAAGACGTAATGAAACAATGTCGGGTTGGAATGTTCACGACTTTGTAGAGGCGTACTGGTCCTAGTTTGGTCCAAGTATACTCGCACAGATCAGCAATGTTTCAGAAGCGTCTTTGTCCCGGTAAAATTGAACTATTTCTTTCAGTCTTGCCTTCACAAAGCTTGATGACGTAATTCTCGCATCGAAACCACTCGCCTGACAACAGACGAGCGCGGCTCGGGGTTTAGGCACGAGAACTGAGTGAGCACTCGACTTGGCTTCATAACAATCAATGCCTCGGCGGACACTCGGGTAGTGGCTTGTGTCCAACCACTGCGGAGATGAGAATAGCCGAACTCTAACAATGCCTGGAGCTCAGCACGCGTTTTCTACTGTGCCGACCCTAGCGCGTGGCTGATTAACGTTGGCGGCATAGGATAGGCACCAGGCCACGTGGCAGCTTCTTCTGGCTTCAAGTTGAGGGGATGAACGATGCTCATATTTCTAAAATTTTTTATGGCGACTACCAGTGCCTAGAAAGAAAATCTAAGGCAAATTTATTCAGTCATTAACGTTAGAAAGTGACTCACTATTTAGCGAAAGTAAAAGAATCGTTTCATGACTCCTTTAAGATGATGTGTGTCGCGTCGGACTCCATCTTAAGTATCTAGGCACAAGTTCGCTTCGTTAAATGTTGTGGGCAACCTGGCGATTCCAAGCGGTTGGCCCGTGCTCGCTCGTCTGAGAAGACCCTTACTGACCCAGACGTCGGACCCGTGCTCGCTCATCTGAGAAGACCCTTGCTGACCCAGAAGGAAGGCCCCCCCGAAGACCATCAAAGACGTCCTCTGTTTTCGTTTTTGGAAGGGGGGAGATATGTGGGCAACCTGGCGATTCCAAGCGGTTGGCCCAGGCTGCCCCTCCGACAATCATAAGTGGTCATCTTGACCACGAGGGGGCCAAGGGCAACTGGCCACGCGAGCGGCGCTCCGCCGCTGATAAAAGGCCGTCGCAGCGGATGCGCAGGGGCTGTTGGGATCGCGGCGCAGGCGATAGCGCTCATTGAATGTTCACGTGTTGTTGAACCGGTGTGCTGTGTCATTCTCCGAGACGGGTAGAAGCAAGGGAAATCCCACACTGGCGCCCAACGTGGGGCCCGAACCCACGACCCCGAGATTAAGAGTCTCGTGCTCTACCGACTGAGCTATTTTCAGTTTCACTATTATCTTCTATTTTTATGCGGGACAATATAAAACGGGCTATAGCAATTTTCGTTCTGATGATGAGTGAACGTTAGAAAAATATGACTACAGTTGGTAACCGGCACAGAAGCCAGTCGAAGATCTGCTTTCAGGACGCTTTCTTTGCCTTCCACCGCCTTTTGGCTGCGCGGGCGACGCAGTGTTATCAAACGGAGAACCAAAGCTCTTGCTTGAGGGGGGACATGTACTATGCACCATTTTAATATTTACGAGTTCCCCCAGCCCAGCGTGCTACCTCCTCAGCCCAGCACCCGCATGTTCGTCGCTTCGAAAAGCGAGCGAATCACGCGCCATACGCGCACGCATTGAAAATAGAACCGGCCAAAAGCCTTTTTTCTCCAAAAAAAATCTAGACGCTTTCAGGCAGCTATACATGAGCGCCGCCATAACAGACCTTCAGTTCATGTTTCTTCTTATTGCATTCGCTTCACTTCATCACTGCCACAGCAGGACAGGATATTGCAACTTTAGGTGCTACTGTGCCCTTCTCCTCAGCATAGGTCCTTGTTGAGGCTCGTCAACGACCGCTTCAGTGGCTCGGCATCTCGGTAAGACGGGGAAAGGTCGGCAAGGGCGGCTCAACCTGGCGCGTGCTCTTTATTTCTCCATTCTTGGTCAGCCTATCTGAATTCGCTGGTGACGGGTCGCTTTATAGAGACGTTTCTTTTGTACCGATAGTTTTTTATCCACACATCAGGAAAACGAGCGTATATTTTTCTACCGCCACCACGTACGGCGTCGTTGCTTTAAATCATTAAAATATTTCTATTGTTTTCGAAATACGCGAGAAGCGAAATATCATGGTAGGAGATTTGGTGGGTGAGCAAGATCGATAATTTAATTGCATGCCCAGTGCCAAAGGCGCTTATATTGGCGAGGAACACTTTCAGCACGATGATGCTACATAGTGATTTTGGCGGGACTGGGTCAAACGACCCTTTCGAAGCTTAGAAGATTTCAATGAACCAAAATGGCGACCGCCTCGGAAACTGAGACAGACCGGTCAAACACCTTTCGAGGTTTCGTCGTCTTTAAGTTGGTATTTTTTTATGTCCGGCTAGCAGACAGGGAAGGCAATGACGCTACTTTCCCAGAATCCAGTGACTTTAGTGGGACCCAAAGTATACACGCACGCAACTCGAATCCGCACGCAACTCCATGACCAAGAATCCTCTTTTTTACGGTGCAAAAATAAAAGCGAACTTTTCCTTTCAATCTTTTTCTTCGCAGAACTTGATGACGTAGTTCGGAGGTCGAAGTGTTGGCATAATCCCCCAGTGACGATATTTGAATGCGGCCCATAGATCAGACCCGAGCATTGCGTGAGTATTCGATTTGGGCTCGTGATAATTGATAGCTCGAGAAGCATACGGTAGTGGCCCGTATTCAATCGCTGCAATGACGACAATAGCCGAACCCACGGCCGGTCTCGACGCGCTCGCTCGCTCTCCCCTACGGCCTGTGCAAGGGGGGCATTTGATGCCTATCGCCGCAACTCTCCGGGGGCGCTGCGAGCCAACCCCGCTCCGCTCGACGGGAGCCGCTGAAATGTTCGCTCGACGTAGCCTCGGCGCGCGCTCTTTGAG